AACATCTTCGGGAATCGGAACCAAGATGCGCGCCACGCCACGTAGGAATGTCGTTCCGAAACTCCACCAGGCAGAGTAAGCGCTACACGTCTTAGCAAGCTCTTCGGGCGGTGTCCGCGTCATGGTTGTTCAGAGGAAGGAAGAACTGTGGCTGTGTCGTTAGGTCTTTTTCCGAACGTTCCGGGCTATGTAAGTTGATCCTTTGGGACGCTGCCTTCTTCCTTATCTTGCGAGGAGCTACGTAACAATTATAACACGTGTAGGAAAACCTGTTATCGATCTTTCCCATTCCCATATGCGCCTGCCTGTCCTTCCCACTGCTCGACGTAAGTGCTGTCAATCCCTTCGGGGGTCGGCACGCGTATCTCTCGCAACTGTAACGGCACCGCAAACTAATCACCGGTCAGGAAATGAAAAAGTGTATCAAACGTTCGTGATTTCATCATTTTTTTTCGGGATCGCCAAACTTCATGGCCTTACTGTGAGCCGAACCCTCGTTCCCCAAGGAGTTGAAACGGCGATTCGGCGATGAATAACTTGCTCTGACTCGACTGTTATTCAGAATCTGACACTATTATTACTTATCTATCTCGGTGGACTGGGCTTTCGGCCGAGACGCGACAGTCCGATATCCGGTCGAGGTGGATGTAACGAATATACCCGAGTCTCAGTCTAATACATATGTACTCGCGGATCCAGAGAGAGAATGAATGACAGGAGAAGAGTGGCGACGACCCACTCGTAATACGGATCGTCGGGACCGAACGTCATAGACCTGTCGAGACGGCACCAGGCACCGTTCCACCTGTGAAAATCCTTCCAGTACGTATGTAATCTATTCAAATGACATTCTATTCGTGATCAGTACCAAGTAAGTAAATGATAATATGCGAGGGGTGCACGTATGGTAGCGTCCGTACGATACATGCTTTTGCGTGGGTGAGGGAGTATGGTGTGTAAGTAATATGAGTGAGTAACAAACTGGTGGTACAAATAAGTGGGTACAAATACGGGACACAGGAAGAAAACACAAGAACCGTCCGTCCTGCTGTTGGTGGTGGTACAATGTCTAGCGAGATATGGTGGTAGTACAAACCAGCGTTGAGTGGAAAGATGAATAAAGATATTGATATATGGAAGCCGTCGTGTATCATGTATGACGATGGGACTTTAATGTTGGGTGGTGCCGTCTATGCGCCTATCATCGTCTCTCCTCCTGCACCTCCGGCAGCGCCGACGAAGCACCACTGCTTCAAAAAGGCCTTGTACAGGTCGTCCGACGAAGACGGAGGGCTAGGCGGTTTTTTTCCCACTTGCGACGTGGGTATGGGTGGGGGAGATGGAGTAGCGGGAGGGGGAGATGGAGAAAGGACTGGTAATGCCAGCGGTTTCGGGGTCAGCGGCGGTGACGGTGACCGCGACTTTGGCTTGCGTTCGGGCTCGATGGCGTCTGAATTAAGCATCGAGAAAGGTACCGGAAGACTTGCCGGCTCGACGTAGACGGGTACTTCGTCCAATGCATTGACCCGTTCCTCGATAGGAGAGTCCAACGGGGAGCTGCTGCCTCTCGATAGAGCAGGCGTCACATCTCCATCACCGTCGGAATGCACTGGGGAACTCGTACCCGCTTGCGACTTGCGAGAGCCCCAAAACCAGAACACACCAGCGCCCTCTGCTTTCTCTGTATTCGGACTGAGTTGGGTAGGAACAGCGTTGGGCTTCGCGTAGTTTGCAAGCTTGAAGCCTTTCAGACGATGCTGAAGCGTCTCTGATTGTGCACGGTTATGTTGAGGGGGAGGGAGCGGAACGGTGGGCAAAGAAGGCGAAAGGGTTGATGAAGAAGGCGACAAGGTGGGTGTCGAGGCAGTAGACGATGGTAGACTCGTAGGTGGGGACGTAGCAATCGTTGGGAACGGAACGGAACTCTCGGGAGGAGGATTAACCGGTGCGTGGGCTTTCTCGACCATTGAAGGTGGTGCTTCTGTCGTTGACATCAATGAAGAAGCAGGAACAGAATGAGAAGTATGAACTTACGGTTGGGACTCCGAACGAAGGCCACACGATAGTTTTTCCCGGCATTGTTGTCCCACCATTCACCTCCACCTGCGGAATATCGTGCAACGAGAAAGATGGTACGATCAATAAGGTTCGACGCGTAGTCTTCCAATTTGATTGAATATTCAAACCGGTCCCAGACGGCAGGTCCTCTTGCAGCGACGCCTGCAGCGAGATCGCCTACAGTGAGGTTCTTCTTGGAGAAAATGGGTAACGAGGGCAACGAGGTTTGATACCGAGCGGCAACTTCAGACGTCGTCTGCCAATCGTCGAGGGTGAACCTGACGTAGACCTGCTTCTCGTATGATATATTGCGCACGAGCAGTGTGCCCTTGAGCGCCAGGGTCGATTGGGGAAGAGTTAAGGACTCGAGTATCACGTTACAGCCCTCTCTTGGCGTTGCAGGGCTTGGAACGATGTCGGTAAATGGCGAGAGGGAGTACGCGGGGAGAACCAAAGGGAACGGGAATCGCGGGCCCTCTGTATAGCGAGAAGAGCCTTCGACCTCGGTTTCTGTTTCGGTCTCTGCGTCCGAAGCGGGTATAGTTCGAAGCAACGAAGCAGGTTTCGCAGACCTGTTGAACACACGGACCGTCTCGAGCTGGTGGGTAGGGAAATGGACATTTTTGGGGCAGTGAGATTCGTGAGAAGAGAGTGCAGGCGTAGATGGAGCTGAGCGAACACGGGTATGCTGGATAGACAGGGAGGGCATATCCGGGACCGAGGACGAGCGTGGTGACCCCTTGAGTGAAGACTTGAGGGGACGGCCATTGGAGAGCAGGACTGGGGTCGAGTTGGTCCGCTGTGGGGGGGAGGGCCGGCTGGGAACCTCTGGGCTGGGGCTCCTGGGCGAGGGCGAGCTTCGTGGGAAAGGCACGGCTAAGTGCGTGTCGAGTCGCAGTGGTTTTGACGGTGGCGGGCTGAGCAAACCATGCTCGTCGTCGTCGGACGAACAGTCGTTCTGGATGTGGAAGACGGGGCGGTGGTGCGCCGTCCGTGGCAGCGAGCCGAGCGACGCAAAGGCGCCGGGCGAACGGGTGTAGGAACGGCGGTGAGTAGGGCGGCCTGCGGAGGGGGCGGGCAGCGAGTAGGGCATACGGGGGAGGGGGGTGGTTATCGTCAACCGGCGGATGCAGCCATTTTTTGAATCAGACTCTTTTCTTTTCAAGGCTCCACTCTGCAATCTCCGATCCTGCTGGGTCGCCCGATTCCATCTCGTGTCTTATCTCCCGGCGTTGCTTCGATCTCATTGGTCGGCTTTCGGCACAGCCATCAAAAATTTCAGCCACGCTCTAGATAGACATCCCCATTGGGAACTTTTACGCCTTCTTATCTGATCGTATTTACCCCATCAGTTTTGCGTACACTTTTTCCATTCACACTCACGTTAAAATTCTGCATGAGTTGCGCAACCGCAGACTTTAACGTCGCCACAATCACGTCTCGTAACACGCTCGGTAAGCTAGCCTCGTCTACTCAATGGCTCGCTATAAGTAGCCACTATTCCGACTTTCCGGCACAGAACTGTAACGGTCCTCCCCTGCGCCTGTCGGACACGTCCTTCACCCACTGTTCGCTTTTCATTTAAATATAAACATGTCAAACTCGCCAGCCCCGCCTCCATTCTACCACTGCCAGCGACATGTTCGTTCGTGGTGGTTAATCCTGTTCATCACGTCTTCCTGCGAAACCGCAATCAACTCCTTCCGAATCCTGATATTCTCGGCTGATCCTTCTGCTCCCACTTCGGGTTCAAGCTCCCAGTTGGTATTAGGATCCTCTCTCGCCATCCTCCCCTAGCAACTGTTCGTCCCTACGTCAATCGACGTCGTTGGTTCCTCTGGATACTATTAGTTGCGTTCAGACTCCCTATGAACCTTTCCCTTTATTACTGGTGAGAGCACGTACCTGCAACATACGAACATGCAAGCATTTTCGCATGCATCGAAGTCGCGAATTCTGGCTTAGCCTCTTGACGACCCTTTATCTCATTACGTGGAACCGTGTTACCGTCCTATATCTTCTTCTCGCATGCAGTTTGTATTCCACTGCGCTGATATCACGCCCCATTGATTGGCCGTCCAACTCAGCTCGGGCTTCGCGTGAGACTCCCTCTGGCCCACACTTTTTCGCAGTGCCAGTCGGGTTCGTATTAACGACGCTTTCCTATCCAAAGGAGGACCGCCACTGTCGGTGAAGACTGCGTCCTCAGCTCTCCTAGCGATGCGTCGACTCCCCGCATATCAGCACTAGACCTACCTTCCCATAGCCAAACAATCGGTTGAACATCTATCTATTGTTATCACTGCTTGGGAATAGCTTAGGAACGAACGAACTGTTCCAAGAACATTATTATCTTTCCATGGGCCAACCATCGTAGTACGCCCGATGCATAGGCTTCCGACGAGAATAGCACATTGTTCACTTGACATATTCCGAATGGTTAATACATGAATCTGAGTCACTGAGTTTGAACGTTATCTTCCTCAAAGTCATGGGTCAATCGCATCGTCATCTGTCTCTCGGCCCTGACTTGAGGACGAGTCTTAGCATTTGTCTCCTATTCGTCCTATGATGCGCAGTCTTAACCCACGTTCACTAATAGTACTCAACATTATTCTCGGCACATACATGTACCTTCCGAATTCTGCAACTCTGGATCGTTTGTCTAGACTTTTCATGACGACCTATATCTCCTTCCGCTTGATGACTCCTGTATATGTACATCATCAGTAAGATCGATAACTCTAGGCACTGTGGGGCTATACTCGAATCTCTTGTCGTCCCGGATCGACGCGAGGTCCAACCCAACATTCCGATAGCATTCTTTCTATGATGCAACTTCCTGGTTCCAAGTTCCAACTTGCGCCATTATCCGGAGTACCGTACGCGTAACCGATATAAATACTCGTAAACCAGGATCAAAGTTAAGGGGGCAAAAAGCATGGGGGCACCCAGGATTGAACTGGGGACCTCCAGAAAGAACAATGGAATAAATCATCAACTTCAGTCTGTTGCTCTCCCAGCTGAGCTATGCCCCCACAAATTGCTGATCTCACGTAATCTCCTTCAGCCTCTTAAACTAACCACCTCGGTTTTACTGTTCTCCCTACGCGTCAAATATAATCCCCATTAACAGCCAGCTCCTCGCAAAACATTAAGTAACCGAGTAATGATTAAATCAAGAACCTACGTCAGAAAAACATCACCCAAGTCGTCCTTCGTCCCCGCGTGTTGCATTTCCTTACCGCCACACATTTGGAGCGCAGGTGGAGAGGAAGTCGCAAACTCTATTGTGCGTAGATTATTCTGCTCCATATGTGAAGCCGCCCACCAAACTTCTGGGTTCTCCGTCTTGGTTACATCGCCTAATAGCCATTGGCAACGTCAGAATTATCTTCGGCAAAGCGTAATCTCTCGTGGGACCCTGTCATACTTGGATATGGATATCTATTGGGAGCACATGCTCTGCGTTCGGACGTTCGATGTCCCCGGCGGGGGCGGGATCGAAGAATGGAGAGCCCGTGCGCTTAGGAGGGAGGGATGGCAACCTGAGGCGGCGCAGTAGTTTGAAGCTTGAAAGCATGGGCGTAGCGGCGGACTAGGAACCAGGGCGAGCGAAGCATGGAGGCGCAGGGTCGCTCAATAGTACATACAGGGCTGTGGTACCAACCCTTTCATGCTCCCACGTCACTTTTAACTTTGATACGATAATAACACGAAGACTTTCCGCTCACCCTTACGATATGAGTCCTTATGAGTCACGGTGGAGCGATACGTCCCCTCCCCCCAAACGAAGAACTTCCTGTACTACCGCGAACGCCTTCCCATTTGAAGTTGGAGCGAGTAGTCCATCGAGTTGAAATGTAAAGCGTAAAGCCGAGAGAAAGAGATTGGAAATCTAGGTACGGTCTCCATCAGGTTGGATTTGGGACGAACGGCTTTGCCAAATAACGCGAACGCGACTCGGCTTCTAGGTTGCCGGCCCCAAATAGGGTTTAGGATTAGATTTCGAGTCTGGTTCCCCTCGGCAAGTGTGTGGCAGGGGTTGTATAGGATCCTGCTCCTATCCTGCCTGGTGCTGGCGCTGAATATTCAATCAGTGTCTCGATCCACAAAGTAGACCCACCAAGGTACTATAAAGTAAAACCAAACGGATACCGGTCCGATCCATCAATGAATTATCGGCCGAATATAAACCCGATCATCTTTTTTTTTTTTGTGAAACACGACGCGATCATCCATCTCTATTGCGTACATAGAAATCCGCAACAACCAGGTAATCGAGATGAAATCACAAAGGTTCGATACGCTTTTATTTTCGATTAGATAACATCCAAGGAGTTCGCAGCGAGAAGACCGAGAAATACAGCCCGGCTCCGTTCGCAGACGTAAACAGGATGAGAGATTGATTAAAGGTACGCAGGGTGTATTGTGGAGTTGCAAAGCTACTGTTCGATCCTGAGCAGATAATTTGGCGTTTCCAGAAGGTAGTGGTCACTCGTGGCAGAGATCGAGCCAACAACACAGCCACGATTGCTCCTTCCTTCGAACGGTCATGATCCTGGCTTCGCAATCAGATTATCGCAGTTTAGCCTCGAGAGGTTAATAAGACGTCATGACAGTACGTCCGCTATCTCTTGGAACGTCCGGTGGAGCGGAAGGTCAACATGACATCAGGATCTCCTACGTGGCGATTCTTTTGTGGGTCGATATGGACGATGTCGTTATTGGTGGATATTCATAAGCGTAATAAGTAGTGCTGCTAATATCGTGCATTCTGTAAGCTATTCTTTCTGAGTTTGTCATGCTTACACTTGCTTAGTGAATGTCGAGCATGCTTCGACCGCGTCCATGAAAGTTCTTTTCTGATGTTGCTGGCTTGGAATCCCGTTCGATGTTCCGGATAGTCTTGTATTCTTGCCGTTTGCGTCATATACTGCGTCTGCCTTATCGACGTTGGAAGGTTAGGCTTTGGTTGAGGTCATGGATGTACCAGACGCTTTGTTTCCAGTGAGTTATCCGACTTCCTATACAACATCGGTCGTCTGATACGACGAAAGCATCGTGTTACAGTTACAGTTTCAGCGCGCAAGGCTCTGTCGTAGCCGATTACTCCCTCGTCACTTTATCCAAACAATGTTCAGAGGAACCTATGTCGATGGTCAAGAAGAATCTGCGTGAAGATGTTCACCGACGTACCTGCGAAATCAACTTATCGATTTCCTCCGCTACTAGCGTCGCGAATCGATGGATCTGGCTACCGGCAATTTTGGCCCATTCTGCATCGTCGCACTGAGAGATGCTCTTCGTGACCGCTTGTCCTATGATATTTTCGCCCAGAGCAATCTCTGGGCGAGGCCGTCCTTCCAGTTCCATCTTCACTGCGGCAAGATAATCGAATACCCAACCATGCATCACAAAACGTTGACCTCCTACATCACATCTCTGAACTAGTCGCTGCCCGCACCGCTGGCAGACTACTCTGGGGTGTAAAAGGGGGACTTCAGACATTTTCTCTTGCAACCATGGCATGTGTATAACTCCCGATGTGCCAGAGGTGATGGTTCGAACGGCGATACTGCACCGCCTATGGTAATCTCGGAGAAGGACGTACTGGAAGGCATCGATGCATTTCAAGTCCTCGAACGCGACTTCGGTGTCAAGCTGGTTGGCAAGTGTGTGTCTCGCCGCCGCCTCACCTATCATCTTCCATCCATTGCTGAGTGCATGCACAAAGACCTGCAGTGCCTGTTCTCTTATCAGAGACGATGCAAGTATGGTCTGGACAAAACGCTCAAACGCATTATCCATGCAGTATTTCTGCAGTGCCTTCCCCACATCTGCGAGTTGCTTGATGCTCTTGATCTCGGGAGAGTATGGGTAGCAGAGCATGAGGATAATCCGAAATGTATCGCCATCCTCTTTGACCTCGAGAACAGGAAGGCCGCCTCGTTCCTCTGTGTGTTGGTTGGATTGCAGAACATGACGAAAGAATGACGATGGGGAATTCAGAGATAGCAGCGCGCTGAGGACGAAGAAGTCGACGTTGTCGGCTGTGCGGATCACCAGATCGACACTGTCAGTGGGATCGTCGAAGGGGGCATCGGCGGTGGTTATGACACGCAGCTGGGTGGTTTCCATCGTTCGTTGGAGATGTGTGCGAAGATAAGAGAAGGGGATCAGGTTTTATGCTTCTGCTGACGCCTCGTGGTGCAGGCGCTTATGTTTTCGGACCGTGTAGACGCCAGGAAATGAACGCATTGAGTATGTCGCTGTCAACACCTTCCTGATTCTCTTTTACCATCTGATCGTCCTAGCATTTCGCAGTGGTCCAGGATACGTTTGAGAAATGGCATACATTGCTCACATGGCGAAATAGATACGACTCTGCCAGAGACTCAGAGAATGTTCTCAGAGTGAGGGCACAAGCTGACCATTTGATTGTTTGAATCTGTCCGTGTGTTGACATATTCTGCTTTACTTGAAGGCTTTGGATGAGCGCCTTAGAAAAAAAAAAACACTGCGACGCGTGACGCGTGTTTTATGTAATCCATACGAAAAACGACTTTCCCCGGTTGTCTGTTCGTTTGTCCTTCCCAAATCGTAGTAGCTGCAAGTCTTACTCTTCCTTGGTGTCTGTCGCTTTGCTTCAGCTTCGGCTCTATGGGAACTGTTAGATATGTGATGTCCTCAAGTTCTGTTACTGCTTGTTCGAGTCCAAAAAATGCTTTGTAGCAAGACATAGTGGTACTGCTTCTCTCAGGTCCTCTGCTGCTATCTGGACCACGTCAGGACCTGCCTTGCAAGGCTAAAACACCTCGAGATGTCGAATTGCTTGAGTGGTCCGACGCCGTCAACCCTCATGAATCTCGTAACCAATCCCACAACATCCTATAACGGCTATTACATGAATTGGCTACCAATTCATGCGGATTGGTAGGTCACTCACCGAACACTTGGCTTATAAGGCAGAAAACCTAGTCGTCATCCCAACAATTCAGCCTCGCGTCGTTTAAAAGCTCTGCATGACGCGCTCTTGCTACCTTAATGCTGCTCTCCCACCTTTCCTTCAAAACCCTCCCTGCGAACCTTCTGCACTTTTGCACCCAATTCTCTTCCACCATCGCTCGAAGGAACCAGCGATGGGAATGCCCCGACTGCCACATGAACATGTCATGCTATCAAGACCTCACGGAGCACATGAAGATACACGCGAAGACTGCAGAGAAGTCAGCAGCCTGTATTCTTCTTGTTCACGCGTGCTCATCGTTGTGGAAGCTATCGTGTTTGCCCCGATTGTCCAGTTCTTCCCCAGGCATGCAATCTTGACGGTCACAGGGTCAGACATCAGTGCGTCCACTATTTTATATTATATTGTAACGAAAGTGACCCGGTTTTTCAGCTCTGGTGACGAAAAGTTCAAGTGCACGGAGGATCCAGACTGGGTTTGGGGCGGGAGGACCGAGGACGGGCTTGCCCACCATCGAAGAAAATATCACGGCAAGGCTACACCTAGCGGAGATGGCATTTCCAGCAAGACACCCTCCGAAAATGAACCCACAGTCAATCCTCCACCCTCATCGGGATCGTTGTCGCACGACCTCAACGCTCCAGTCGATGCTACGAACATACTCACGGACGAATCTATCGTTTCCCCGGCGGCCCCAATCGATGGACAGGCACATGTCGTAACCAGGGACGAGGACGTTGAATTCGTTTGGACTTCTCCCGGGACGGGATCTAAACACGGTGACCCATGCTATTCATCGGAGGCCAAGCAACTATTCCCTGCCGCCAGCTCAGGTACTCGGTCGCGCTCATCAAGAACGATTGGACTTCGGTTAATGGAAGAGGCGATGGCGGCGATGAATGCGGTCGACTTATCGGTCTCTGCTGAGGCTCGCACTAGACCGTATTACAACACGGCTCCCCGGGCGCACCCTAGGAACTCATCCCCGGGCGGCCCGAACACTGGAATGGTATAATGGATCGTATCGCTTGGAGGCCCCGGATGAAGATTTCTGCTTGCTCGATGTGG